GTCAGCTGCGCGGTGCGCTCGCTCGCCCGCTTGCTCCCCCAACCCTGGGCCCCTACAGGGTAGGCAGACGGCGGTCCTTGGTTGCAGTCGCGTCCGGCGGCCGGCCTACCTCCACAGGCGTCCCTCGCCCCGCGCCGCGAGCCCCGCGCGCCCCGATAAAGAGGAACTTCCTTCTCTTCGTTTCCCTTTCCTCTCCGTCGCGTTAAACTCCTTCCGGTTTACAAAGTGATTCGGATGCGGGCCTCTAAAGCAAAAACATTTGAAATCCACAAGAGCCCGCGAGAACCAACCACTAACGGACTTGGCCGTAACACACGAGAGCACTTGGGCTGTTCCGCGCGCGGGACGCGACAGTGCGCCGCGCCGGCCGAGCAGCTCCTCCGCCGCCTCCCTCACCCTCCTCCCCGAGCTCTTCCCGCTCGCAGTGTGGCGCCCGACCCGGTTTACCAGTAAATCCGGTTCCCTTTGCGCGGCGCGCTGTGGGAACAGATCCGCGCGCGCAGCGTGTCGTGGCACCGCGTGGAGTCCGGCGGGTCCGTTCGCCCCCCTCCCCCCTCCCCTTCTTCCTTCTTCCGTCCGTTCTTGTTTTTCAACGCCCGGAGCCCGGAGGAGTCCGCGCCGCTGACCGCGACAATCATCCCAGGGGACCCCGCAAGGCGCCGCAAGGCCACTCGCGGCCCCGCGGCTCGCCCGGGCAGGACTCGCGGCTCGCGAAGCAACGCGGCAAGTCAACTGTTTCCCCAGAGTACTTCGGCGCGGCGGGGTCGCATCGCCTATGATTCCAGTTCGCTCCGGTTCAGTCTTGGCCGCCGCTCGTACCCGGTTTGCGCGCGGGGTCGTCGGCGAGCCGGTGGCGAGCGACAACCCTCTTGCACTGAGACGGCGCCGGCCGTAGGGAAGGACCAGCCATGGACCAGCCCAGCGCGCACGCTGGCGCCACCCACGCACGCGCACGCGCACGCTGGCGCCACCCAAAGCGACTGCATGTCGGTCGTGTTGGGACCGTTGCGTTGACAACGCTAGGACATGGCTGTTGGCCGGTCCATAGGGACGGCCACTCTACTCGCTAGTATTAGCAGCACTAGAAGTGCGAGAGCAGCGGCGAGGAAGGCCGGGACGGGGCGGGACGGGTGAGGGAATGGCAGGTTGGCCTGGCCGTTGAGTCGGGCCGGCTGCAACCGGTTTCACGCCGACAGCCCGAGTCCCGACCGAGTCCAAACCGAACAGCCGCGCCGAGTCGGGCGGGTCCGACCGGGTACTCGTTCTTCCCCCTCTCCCGCGGTTGCCCCCACCAGCAGGGCTGGCGCAGCGGCTGCCTCCGCGACGGGCCCGCGGCCGACCCGCGGACCCGCGGGCGCACGGGAGGTGCGACTGTGCGCGGGCGGCCTCGCGGACGCAGTCCTCCCCACCACGCCGCGCCGCGCCGCGCCCGCCGCGCCGCGCCCGCCTCGATTCTAATCCACTCCAATTCCAATCCAATTTCAGTGAGCGTCCCGATGTCGGCGCGCGCGGAGCCCACCCCCCTGCGCCACCTGCTCCACCACCACCACCACAACATGTCGCGAAAAAACGAATCGGTGGCCTGGCGGGCCTTCGTCAAGCTGGGCGGCAACAAAGTGATCTGCAGGATCTGCAACAAGCAAATGAACTACCAGTCCGGGTCGAGCACTAGCAACATGGTGAAGCACCTCCAGGCCGTGCACAAGCACATCCTGGCCGATGTCAAACCCAACCCTGCGTCGCCAGCGGTGCAGCCAGCTGCACAGGCGTGTGTGAAGGGCGCTGACGATCTCTCCACGGTGGGTGCGACATTCTGACAGTCTCCTCGCCCACGTCGTGGTCCTAGTGACCATCGCGACGACGTCCTTCTGTCAACAAGTGGGCCATTGGATAGTCACGGGGCGGGGTGGGGAGCGGGCACTGCCACCAGTGGGGGGGTGTGCCCGCGCGAGTTTGAAAGGGGAAGGATATGGACCGAAATGCGACAAAGCCGTACCTGGCGCTTAGCGTGCTTGCGCAGCTTGCGTCACCTGAGCTTATCGTCGATGCCCTCCCGCCCCTCTCGCTGTGGCTGACTGTACCCTCTCACACACACAGCCACGCATTTCCGCACCCGTGCCGAATTGGGATATTGCGGTCCGGCAGCATGCCAATCTCTTGCCTTCCCTGAACAAAATTCAATTGTTGGAACAGTCGGGAGACTAATTTTGAATTATGTTTTGCACTTCTAGGAAAATAATAAAGATGCACAATACTGATCCACATTTCTTACAAAAGGTGGCATTTTAGTTCTTTATGTTTGTTGAAATTTGTTTTGGATTTCATGTTTTAATTATCTATTTGTTTATGGAGCATTCCTTTCACTTTCACTGTCTTGTTAAATAAACTTCACAACATTGTGTACAACACATAACCTCAAATACTAGTTGTTTACTGGTATTGCTTTTTTTTCTTCTGTATTTATTGCTGTAACTATCAATCTCTTTCTAGTTGAAATTCAATTTCCCCAAATGTCAACGTCAAATGTCAATATACAATTGAGCTGTGGTTTTAGCTGTAAACAAAGTTTCCGTAGGGAAGTTCAAGGTCTTAATCACATCAATTTGGAAAAACATTCTTTTAATAGTTTTTTTTTTCCTACAGAATTCATTCAGCAATGAGCCATGGATGGTTCTTCAGAATGCCCCTGCCCATCTACGTCAAAGATGGCAAGACTTGAAATTAGGTCTGCAGAAGGAAATGCAACAGCATCAACAAGCTGTGGCTTGGTCCGTAATTGGAACACCGTGCCTTGGAGCACCAGCAGGTGCTGATTTAGCTACTGACAGTGATGCTAATTCGACATATTGGAATGGTACCCCAACGAACAACTCAAGTACTAATAACCACAATGTGAGCAGCGGCACTAGTTCAAGAGATTCAAATCCCTCTGATTCTAGTAAGATAAAGTTGTGTAAACATCATTTCAAAGTAATATTTATTTACTAAATCTAGCTGACTCATCATTTTTCTTGCAACTTCCAGATACTGACTGGCATCACAGGGAGGCTGAACAACCTTCTGAAGGTAGTTCATACCAATATCGAGTCAAATCTGAGCCAATTGAAACTGATGAAGTTCTTGAACAGCAGCCAGGAAGACCTGATTCAGCCTCTTCACCACCATTAGAGCTTGTCTCTCCATCTCCCTCCCCATCCCCTGTAATCATTTTAGGGGCAGAACCTGGTGGGGTTAGTGATCCTCCACCTTGCGAAGAAATTGACGGTCCACCTCCACCGAAGAACAAGAAACATCGAGCCTCCCAAACAAACCTGTCAAGTGTTTCTACTCAGCCCTTGGATGATGCTGCAGAGTTAGAACTTCGATTAAATGGCCTACGTCGTGCCCAAGAGAGAGCAGAAGAATTACATCATGAACATCTGCGAGAAAGTCGTGCTAGGGCGGAGGCAGCCCAAGCTGAACGAGATCATAGACTACAACTAATTCGACATGCTGAGGAGATACATCAACAAACTTTAGAAGCTCAGAGACAAGCCTTAGAGCATAGTAGACAGTTACATGAATTAACGGTACGACGGGCGCATAACAAGCCATGTGAATAACACTAAGTTTTGTTTTTTTCCTAAGTTATATCCATTTAGTTCATATGAAAAAAATTGCTGTTGCTATTAAACTTAATTAAGGTAGGTATGGCTTACCCTTGTTTGAAGGGCTTGGCTAAAATGAAGTAATGTGAATATGTAGTTGTTAGTTGTACCTAAATGATAAGTAATAACTTCCCCTTGAAATTTACTGTATTCATGTAATTTTGAGTATTGTGTGTATTAATTAAGCCTTGAAGGAGTATTCTGCCATCTGGTCAGTAGGTATGAAGTTTGTATTTATCAACACATCTGTATTATTCTTTGGTAATTGATTTAGAACGTGTTGCTTTCTTGGTGATTGGTGTTCTGTCTCAATTAGTCTTTGAATAGGCTATCGTACGCAATATTCAAGTCCTAGAACTTGTATTAAATTTGTGCTGATCTGTAAACAATTTGTAACCACAGAAATTGACTTTCTAGTTTCAGCCACTGTCTTCTTTAAATAATTTTACTCCACAAGTTTAACTTATTATTAAATTTACTGCATTCATACAGTGCAATTATTTATTTTAATGTAGTTATCTATTTAATTTCAAACCTAGTCATGTACCTTTTTTTTTTTAAACAGCCCATAAGGACCTGGGTATATTTTCAATGAAAACTGGATGAGTATTATTTGCCTGTTCTATATTCCTATTGTTGACAGAAGAAGATCATTATCCTGTGGTTTATATATACCACATGGCACCTTTTACAGGTTGTTCTTGGAAAATGTGTCCTTTTCTGTGTGTGGTCCATTTGCTGGCAAGTGGAACAAACGAAGCAACAGGAAGTGCTGTAAAGTAGTTCCCCATACATATTTTTTATTTACTTTAAACTTTTGTGTACTTACACCTCTTTATTGTAATGAATGAATCAAACCATCGTATGCGGGGCTCACCTCAGCTCCTAAAGCTATCCCTCCCAAAGATAAATAACATTTCAATTTGATATGTGTGGTATTATTGGTTGGTCGGGTCGGTGTGTCTATGGGCCACCATGTATTTATATAACTTATTTAATTATCTTGATAAGTTAATAAGTTAGAAATCTCTTCGGCATCTACATGACATACAAGTGCCCTGATAAAGCAAGTGTGCAACTGCTTCACACTTGTAAGGGTGAGACAGCAAGTTGAATACTTGCAAGTGTTAACCAGCATAGTGGTTGTACACTTCCAAGTGCTAGGCGGCTTGGTAGTTGTGCACTTCCAAGAGTGCACCACCTCAGTTAAACACTTTCCACAAGTGTATGTCAAATCGAAGGAAGTGTTCACATTGGAGTTGCACACCTGTACACTTGCAAGTTCTCTCTCTGTTTGAGCACTTCCCACATAGCAATCTCAGGAAGTGCGCAACAGCGGATTTGTTCACTTACAAGTGCACAACTAAGGAGTTGAACTCTTGCATCCATTCTACTTTTGTTGCAATTGCACACTTACAAGTGTCGCACACTTGGTTTGTAAGTCCACTCGTACCTCGTGTAGACACCATCAGGATATCGAATTAAGATATTAAGATAAATAAATGAGTTATTGAGATAAATTTGCAGTCCAAATTTATATCAAGATCAAGCATCCAAATATACAGCACATATCATTTTAAAATATTATTTCCCTTTAGGAGGGACAGCCTTAGCACGTCGGTGAGGCTCTCATTAAATGCACATGTTGTTTTGTGTTCTCTTTTTATTCAAAGAACAATATTAACTTGCATGTAATTTTGGAGAAGAAGTGAATCCAGCAATCAATTTATCTTTAAGAGGATATTTATGAGCATTTCAAAACTATTTGTGAAGGCTGGACCTTCTATTAAAGCCATGTACGTGTTATGTGCCTATACTTTAGTTTTTGGACAGCTCTGTCTTTCCCAAACCAGTGCTTATCCCGGAATTAAGTGGAGGGTTTTGGCTTTCAATGTATCGTTCTTAGATTTTGTGAGACTTTTGAATTCATCATCTGTCAAAATTCTTTGCTTTCCTTCAAGTACATGAGCCCTTCTCTTAATAACATCCAATACTCATTTGTCTTTTTCAAAACTGCTCTGTCTTTTAATGTTACTGCAAAATACCTATTTATGGATATATATCTATCTATCTATATGTATATATACATATAAATAAAATATTATTAATTGTTAATTTTCAGAGATTTCTATGCAGACTGGCAATACATTTACAATCTAAAAGTAAACACAGTTTTAGAGTTGTTTTTATTGTTTGAGGTATGTTGACAGTCAGTGTATCACATTATGTTTATGTTTCAAACGCATCATTGTACTGTTATACTGCACTTCTTTAAAATAAAATATACTGCTGAAATTTTTATATCATAATTAATTTTTCAACTGTATCAACAAGAAGATCCTCTTGTGGACTGGCTACAAACCACTAATACACCCTGTGACTGTTGACCTTGCTCTTATATCTCTAACCAAAGTTTTTAAAAAATTCCTCCTTTTTTAAAATTTTTTTTTTTTTTTTTTTTAAATTTTTGCAGGCTTTTAACAGAATATACAACAAGGAGTGCCCCTTTACAACAGCCGGGGTGAACAGATTCCTACCATTGTTATGTAGGAATGTTCACTCATGCACAGCAGTGAAGTCCCTGTATTCCACTGATCCATTTAGTCGCAGAGATTTCCACAGTTCACATCATCTTTGTGACATAGTCCCTTTCACTTTATCTGATATTGGTGAGGGAATAACTGAAGTTTCTGTCAAAGAATGGTAAGTGATAGTAATCTCCATTCATACTTACATCTTGTTTTGAAAATACCTTTTTCAATAATGGCTATTCATTTACTAAACTTTTAAGGTTTGTGAAAGTTGGTGACAAAGTAGCACAATTCGACAACATTTGTGAAGTTCAAAGTGACAAGGCCTCTGTGACCATTACAAGTAGATATGATGGAGTTATTTCCAAACTTTATTATGCTGTGGATGACACTGCTAAAGTTGGATTACCTCTAGTTGATATTGAAGTGGAAGGGGAAAGCAGCGGTAAGGATTCCAAGTTTACTGCCTCTGCATTATGAGGAAATATTTTGGAGAGAAGTCTTCACTTTCATAAAATTCAGTTTCAGTTTCATAAAAATTTCTGTTTTTGTCCAGTTTCTAGTTCAAATGTAGCTGAGAAAACTCCAAGCTATGATGATGGTGATAACAGAGAGAATCAGGTGTATCACAGTAGTGAGAAAGCACTTGCAACTCCAGCTGTTAGGAGAATTGCAGGGGAAAACAAGGTTTGTTATTGTCATCACTTTGTTAAATTTTAATTTTTTGTTTCTTTTTAGGAAAAAAAGGCACCAAAAAAATCAACAAAAAACAAACAAACAACGACAACAACAAACTAACAAGTAACTGTTGTCTGCTGAAGTAAAATTTTAAATTTATGAACAGGTTGACCTTTCATCAGTGAAAGGAACGGGGAAAGGCGGGAGGGTTATGAAAGAGGATATATTAGCATACATCGCAGGGAACTCAACATCTAAGAAATCTATACCATCTGCACGCCCACCAATAATAACCGCTCCAATGATACCGTCGACTGCCTCTGGAGATGACAGGATTGTCCCAATTACAGGATATACCAAAACCATGGTGAAAACCATGACTGCTGCAAATGTAAGAATTTTGGGATGACCAACCCTTAAATTTTGAATTTTCAGGGGAGTTGGAAAAAGAAGGCTGTTGTCTTTATTTGAAAGATATATTATTTTCAACATGCTAATCTTTTGAATTGACTCATGTTTTGTATTTTGTGTTTCTATCGGCAGTCAGTACCTCACTTTGTGTACAGTGATGAATTGGATGTTGGCCCACTTATTCAGCTGAGGAAGCAGATGAAGCCTGCCGTAGAGAAACATGACATCAAGTTAACATACATGCCATTTTTCTTGAAAGCGATTTCTCTTGCCCTCTATCATTTCCCAATCTTAAATGCCTCAGTGAATTCTGAATGCACTGAAGTGATATATAAGTCCAGGCATAATATTGGTTTTGCTATGGATACATCCAATGGCCTAGTTGTGCCAAATATCAAGGATGTACAGTCATTGCGATTGCTTGACATTGCTTCTGAAACTAATCGGCTTATAGAAGCTGGTAAAACTGGCACCCTTTTGCCCAAAGATGTCACTGGTGGCACATTTTCACTATCAAATATTGGATCAGTAAGTTAAATGTGCTACTATTAAACCTATCTGTGCTTTCAACATTTCTTTAATACAACACTTCTTTTAATTTAGATTGGAGGTACATACATGAAACCTGTTTTACTTATACCTGAGGTTGCTATTGGTGCTCTGGGCAAAATTCAGGTATTTATTATTTATTTATCTGTGTGCTAAGTAGTTTTTCAAGTGTTTAGTTCTTGATATTAAAAGAGCGCAAAATTTCTAACTTTTACAGAGACTTCCTCGTTATGGGAAATCTGGTGCTATTGAGGAGTCTCATATTATGTGTGTGAGTTGGGCTGCTGATCATAGAGTTATTGATGGGGCTACAGTGGCTAGGTTTTCAAACATGTTTAAGGAATTAATTGAGAACCCAATAGAACTAGTTATTCATTAATTTTAATCATATATATTTTTAATATCAGCTGAGTCTTTGGGAGTATTGTCCAATTTGTTCCTAACTTTCAAAATACGTATGTATAAGAAATTTATCTATACCTGTCAGTTCAAATAACTTGCTATGCGCGTTTTTTTATGATTTTTGTCACTTGTTTTACTGTATCTTTCTTGTTATCAAAGATTTTTAATGAACTTACCATTCTGTAGAAGTGCGGACCAAAGTAACAACATTCCTTCCATTTTCTATCTTTATCATTTTCTTGTGCTGCTCCTTTGAGAATGTATTCTCAAATTTTTTGTATGCTTTCTTGTTTTACGATTGTGAAGTCTTTCCCTCTATTCCTCTGAAATTGTAAGATCTGATCATGATATGTGATCTGGCGCAATAGTAAGCAAACACTCTGGTGGAGTAGATGAATAATGTCCTTGATAATTGTCAGGAGCTTTTTAGTCCTCATGTATTTGGAGGTAATAGGACTGTCTGTTGTGTTGAAATTCTAACTTTAAAACTAGTTCTTTTTTTCTGGGAGGGGGGGGGGGGAATATTTTTTGTATATTAATTACGTCTTAGATGATGTTGACACATGTGTTCATTTTAAATATTCCTTTTTTAAGACTGATCAAACTGTGCTCTTCTTTGTATGGTTCATATTAATTTGGTCCACTTACCTCTCCACTTGGAATTGTTATTAAATCTATTTCCATTTAAGTTTAAGAAAATTATTTGTATTGTTTGCTTAATCATCCGAATATCGCTGGTACATCATCTTATTCCCATTCCGCTAGCCATGGATATGAGGTCGAGGGAAGGACAAGTATTTTCCTAACTTATCAATGAATTAATAAATCACGAGAAATTGAGTTAAGGACCTCACCTACTGACTCATTAATTTCAAAAGAGTATCCTCCTGAGCTGTGGTGGCAATTGTTTGTGTGGCATTCCCGTTTGTGACAAAGTTGTGGCTCAACCACCATGCCATCAAACAGAGGTCTAAAAAGCCTTACGTCGAAACTTCAATATAAAAATAAAATTAAAAGAACAGTTGTATGTCTTAACTGTTTTATTTATAACAAATAAACTGTAACATTGGTAACTGTAACAATCATAAATATAGAATAACCAAAAGTAGTACACATATCCTTGCATTTTAAGTCAGATAAAAGAAATCTTTCTAGAATTTCTTCTAGAATGGAAAGGATTATAAAGTAGACTAAAGAGCTGATTGGGAGATGTGTATGTTATTAAGGAGATGATTTAGGAAGGACAATGAAGTTAATGGCACATTGAGAACAATGATTGCTACCCCCTGGAACTTGGACAATCTGGCTTTTTCTTTGGCAGATTCTCTTACATAGTCTTAAGTCACTACATCATATTGAAAGTCTGAACATGAGCAATTCAATATCCCAAAAGAAAAACAAAGGCTAAAAGCACAAACATATGTGCTTTGGTAATTAGCATAAACAATTCTATGACTAATGCAGACAGAGGCCCAATAGCAAAACATTGTTTGAATTTTAAACTTCAAAATGGTATAGCCAAGCCGAAGTTTACATAAGAGGGGTAAAAAGATTATTCTATACCATAAGAATATTCCACAGCACTGCAAAATCTCATTTTCTGATCAACTGACTGACCAATCTAAAAAAAAACAATTTTGAAGAGCTCTGGAGTTAATTCATTATGCTTTCACAAATATCTTTACATTTAAACAAGTGCTAAGAGTAGAGAAAAATAAAGACACTTAAAAGTATAAGGAGACTTATTTCCAAATGATTGAAATCTCACATAAAACATTAACTCTCAGATATCACAAGTTGATAAAATTAGTTTTTGAGACAATACCTTTAACTGAACTTTTCATATTAACAGAGTACACATTTCAAAGAAACTCTCAAAGAATAACTAATCCAGAAATTGGGATTTACTTTAATCCTACATGTTAATTAAAAAAAAAAAAAACATGAAAAAAATTAAAAAATGCAAAAATATTTGGATGAAGTAAATAGAGCGAGAGACAATACACAACTGTCTTCCGCACATGGACTGTGTGGGTTCATCACACAAGTAAACAAATAAAGATTTACAGTCTTGAGGGTTTACTAACAAAAAGTTCGAACATCAAGATATACTTGGCCATACTTTTTTTTTTCTTCACTTGATGTGAATTATGCCAAAAAAGTGACATCAGGTACATTAAGGAACAGCTTTTCTTATTTAAAAAACAACAAACTAACGAATACTGGAGAACAACTTGAGTACTGATTTACTTTCCTGTAATCGAAGAATAATCAATATTATTTCCTGTGTCAGAGTAATGCCAGAAAAGTAAGCTACACATTTGTAAAATTTAGGGAAGTCAAAATAAAAATAGGTTAATGCTTACCTTCTGAGATCTAGCTTTACTGAAGACATTCCAGAACCTCAGTGTACCTTCACCAGCACCTGTTACAATGGCCTCTCCATTAGGAGCCATTGCTAGGTAAAGAACGCGATAGGAGTGTCCAGTTAGTTTAGCAACTTGCACTAAACTTGGGTATTTCCAAACCAAAATTTCATTCTGAGAATAACCGTGAGTGCTGACCTGCAGACAATGAATAAATTAAATTTCTTAACATCTCATTCCTTATAGAAATTTTCAGGTATAAGAAATTTTTTTGAGCCCCTACAATAACTTACAAATTCTTGGGTGTGCTTGGACCAAATAAGATTACAAACTTGACTGCCAGTATCAACACACTGCATAGGCTGGCCTGTAAGGGTATTCCAAAAGCGAATACGCCGATCTGCAGTGCCTCCTCCACTTGCCAACAGTCCATGATGATGAGGAGACCAAGCAATAGCTGAATGTGGGATAGCAAATAGATTAGGATTATATTGAAACTTTAAGTAAGAAATTTTGTGGGATGAAATCATACCTTTCACAGCTGCTACATGTTGGGTATATGTTTGAACAGGAGATAATGAATGTAAATTCCAAACATGAAGTTTATTATCATTTCCACCTGAAGCCAAACACTGGTTATCTGGTGACCACTTCAGACCACAAACCTAGAACAAAACAAGGGTCAATAAGTTGGAAACATAGACAAATAAACGGACTTAAAAAAATAAAAAAATAAAAATAAGTGAAGGAATAACTTACTTCTTGATTATGTCCAACTAATCTTCTCTCAGGTACTAATGCTGGAGTGCGCACGTCCCTTTGAAGAATGTCTTTATCACGACTTCCCGAAGTAAGAATGTCTCCATTCCAAGCAAGTGCACCAACTCTTGCAGAATGGCCACGTAGTTTATTTATTTCTTTACTAATGCTCACATCCCAAATTTGAACATAGCCATCATGTGTGCCAACAGCAACCAGATTTCCCTACAACCAGAGCAAATTGTTAAGCCTTAACAAAGTGATTGACTAGTAGTCATTTTAGTAGATAATAGCACTCTTGGGTAGTTGAAAATAATTTTAATGTTAATTTTAAAAGATTGTTTTGAAGCTCTCACCTTCTCATTCCAAGCAACTGATGTAATAGAGTTTCCTTCATGAGTAAGATCACAAAGCCTTGTTACTTCACTAGAAGATGCACTCCATAGAAACACACTAGCACCTAGGCCAACAGCAAGTACATTCTCAGAGGACCAATCAACTAAATTGAGATAAAAGTCATCCTGAAGATCAGGAGCATCTAAAACCTGGAAAAGAATGTTATAAGTCAAAGAAGTAACAGGAGAAAAAAAAGCTACAAACATGTAAAATATAAAAGGTCAAGTACCTTAAAAGGAACTATAGGAATTTTTCGTGCCCTCAAAGGTGAGCGAAGGAGTTGATGACTTTTAGCACTTAGAGGAGATAATGAATAAGGAGAAGTTGGGACCTTAACTTGTGGAAGATACTGCAATAAAATATAATAAAAGTGAAACCAAGACCATTTGTAGAACAGAGTAACAGTATAAGAATATGGCTTACCTCAAAAAGATTCGAAGTATCCTTATCATTGTCTAATTGTTTTAGTGTATCAATATTACTGCCAAGTAATTCGTTTTTGAGAAGGCATCTGTAGACAGTCCCATCACGCTTTGAGTCTCCAGTATCATTACCAGTTTTCTTGTGATGCGAAGAGCTGACATTAGTTTCCTAACAAACAGAAAAATATCCATAAGCACATGTGAAAATTATTTATGATTAACATTGAAAGGACTACCTACTGAACATGCTGCAAATCGAGATTCCCAACTGTTGCCTTTCCTAGACGGAATAAATCTATCTCCACCAGGAGATTGGGTACCCTTGTGCGGAGGTGTCTGTAAGATGGGTTTTTCAGAAACAGAAGTGATAATTGTTGTTACAAAAAAGATCAATACATTAAATTCTTGATGACAATTACCGATGGTGGCGTAGTAGTCTGGTTTAAAATGCGGTTTTCATAATCTTTGCTGTAAAACATTATGGGGTCTTTCAGTCTGATGATTTTAACTCAAATACGCTCAATTTGAAGACAAGTTACAGCAACATATCTAAAAAACAAAAGGAACAGAGTATTTTAAATTTTTAAAAAACATGCAGAAAAGATCACTATATAAGAAATGTCAGATAAGGACAATATCTATGAAATGGCACTTATTATAGAAATGCCACCCGTTCATTTAAAATGCAGGTACAGATTGAGTTCAATGAAACGGCATTTAGAGGTTAAGTACATTGTGAATAAAACATTTGAGGTTGAAGAGAAACCGAAACAGACAGATTGTTCTACGGAAAATTTTGAATGCTACATTTTTAAATTGACTGTGAGGAAATTTCTTAAAATCGTCACAATCAATAGAAACAACATAAAGTTAAACGGAGCGACAAACTGACAAGAATATGGACTCGTACTTTGAGCACTTTGTGTGCTGGTAGTTAAAAAGAAGTAATCCTTACACATACATGGTCACATGGGTGGACTATTAACCAAGCACAAGGAAGAAACGGAAATTTATATTCTTAAAACAACCACAAAAAGTTTTGTTTGTGTTGTTAAATTCAAACTTTGTGATCTGCTTTCGTTGGTTGCCAGCCGTTCGTTGGGTTTGATCGTAGTTGGGAAAATCTCCGCTAGGGGGCGAGCTGAAGTCAGTTGCAATCGCAATAGCGATAGCGATTGCGGTCGCAGTTGCAATGGGGCTTATTGCAATTCCGGAGAGGTGGGAGAAGGTGAGAGACTAGAGACTAGCATCTAATTCGATGAGAAATTAATCTTACCTACAAGGTGGGAAGGCCCAGGACGTCCACCCCCAGCGCCCGCAAAGCGCGGTGAAAGGGGACTAGGGTGCGGCTTAAAATACGAATTCCGCTTTTCCAACTTGCATCACTGCTTTTTTCTTTCCTTTTGAGGTCTAGAACCAAGAAAAAAAATCCCGCGGCTGTGGCACAAGCCTAACCCGTGCCGCATCCTACGTCTAAATTTACATGTAATTCTTACGGGGAAAATGCCTTAAAATCGAAATTCGCATCAAGCGGGCCTCTATACTGCATATTTTTTGGCAAAATCGTGTGGAAACGCAATCCTCTAGTGATAACAAACCCGGCAATGTGCCACACATGAACGAGCGTGTTTGTGGCCACAGCGCGCCCCCCGAAAATCAGCTTATACCGGACCGACTATAGGTATCGAGGCCGTAAGGAGGCCAGCCACAACGCGCCCGAGATAAAACCCCCTCGAACGCGCCACAACGATGCCACGACCTCTCTTATGACCCATTGAGGCCCGAGGGGTGTCCCCACGACCACACGACCGCGTCCCCCAGGTTGCCTACCGTACAGGGGTCCAGCCACAACTCACCGCAACTGCCCCATCGCCAAAATACCGACATGTCTCTGTGCGGGTGGTCTGTACGTCCCTACTTGTGGCCACAAAATTGTGGCCACAAACCCGGCGGCCAGAGTCAGCTTAATCCGACCCGACTATAGAACACCAATATTCGGGTAATTTGAAATCCAAAGCCTTCAGGAAGTAACCAGAAGGTAAGGACATGCTCTGCACATAGTCCGAGACGAGCCGATAGGCCCCGGATGCGTAAAAACCAACGCAATGGGGCCCAGGGGGCCCCAAACACGAAGAGCAGCTTTTGAATGGATTGCCTACCGTCCAGGCGATCTCAGCCACAACTGAGCCCTCAGCCACAACTCATCCCAGGGTCACAGGGTCACCCACTCACTGGGAACGGTCGCGGGCGCACGACGAGTCTGTTCGGCGGGCCCGCCTACCCTCCAGGCGCCCTCAGCCACAACTGGGACCTCAGCCACAACTCGTCCCAAGGGTGCCCACAAATTACAAACAAGGTGGGGGGCGTACGGCGAGTATGTATGGCGGGCCCGCCTACCCTCCAGGCACCTCTCATCCACAACTGGGCCCTCAGCCACAACTCGTCCCAAGGTCACCCAGTCACTGGGTACCACCGCGAGCGTACGGCGAGTCTGTTCGGCGGGTCCGCCTACCTACCAGGTGCTCTCATCCACAACTTAGCTCTCATCCACAACTGGGCCGCAGCCACAACTCCTCCCAAGGGTACCCACAAATTACAAACAAGGTGGGGGGCGTACGGCAAGTATGTATGGCGGGCCCGCCTACCTACCAGGTGCTCTCGTCCACAACTGGGCCGCAGCCACAGGCCAAAGGTCGTTTGGATCACGTTCGGCAGCGCAGCCGGGCGCACTCCGGTGCACGAATCCGTTTCTGCCAGACAGGGGGAGGAGCGACATGGTTCAACACCACCTGTTTAGCAGCTCCACACCCACGCCCGCGCCTGGGTATAATTGAACAAAATTTTTGGCGTGGGCGCTGGGCAGCGCGCGCGGGGGACCGACTACTCAGAGAGCAAGGTGTCTATTGTTGCTCTGGTACCCGGACGTGGGTGTGGAGCTGCTCAACATTGCTCAACACACGGGAAAAACGAGTCGGTTGCGTTAACCCGTAACTCGGTTCTCACAACCGAGTCGCGTAGTTACTTTTGGCGTTACTAGAAAGTTGGTTGTGTTAACTATACTTTTTAGTACAGGTAGCCTGGTCATAGCAACTAACACGAGATGGTTATGGCAACCGAGTGACCTTAGTTCGGATAACCGAGTTACTAGTGACGAAAATAAAATTTTAAATCTTTCCGAGGCACTTCCGCCTCGTTCCCTCATACTTCCGAGCGAAGTGACCATCTTGCTAACCCAGTAAGGCCCTCACGGAGGCCTCATGTGTTCGCAGCGGCCGGGATTCAAGTCCCGACCGCTGCGATTGCGAGACCTCCGCGATACCACTAGGCTATCGCGACGCGTATGGGGGAGCGTGCCGGACAACGACCACGTGCCGCTGCCGACGCGATCCCGGAGCCACCCGGAGCGGGCGGCGGCGGCAGCGGCCGGGCGGCAGCGGGGAGTGGGGCAGGTGGGGGAGTGGAGGGGGGCTAGCCGAGGCACCCCGGATCCCGAAGTGCAACCGATGGCTTGGTTGCAACAACCATCTCGAGTGACAATCTGAAATAGTTGTGGCAAACCAGTCGCCTGGGTACCAACATCCCAAAATCAGTTCGCCCAACTAATTCCGATGGTGGCCCCAACTAGCAGCAACCGCCAACCAGCAAATATGCCGGTTACCCCAACCAACCTTTTTTTTTTTTCCGTGCATGTGGTGTTGAACCATGTCGCGCCCGCCCCCCTACTGTCTGGCAGGAACGGGTCCGTTTAAAAGTAAGACTTTGTTTTTACCGTGGCAGCGGTGCCGCACATCTGTGTCGCCTGGCCCTAGGGCGTGTAAAGTTAAGCACGAGTGAGCGTTTCACGTGAGATCAGCGCTCACATGAGCAATGTGCTGCGGCATACATTTTTGCAGAATTACACCCTTCTTACCCTCTCTCTCCTCTCTAAAAATATGTGTGTTTGTCACTTTTCGCGTCATTTTGTCCTCGGCGCGAGCCTCGGCGTAGACGCTCACGCGTGCTTAACTTTACATGCCCCTGTAGGAGGCCCGCTGGAACCAGGCGGGCTCCGGAGGGTTCGCAACTGCCTACCTTTGTGGGGTCAGATGCTAAACCGGCCGACGGAGCCGCCTTGCGCCGACCTAATCACAGCGCAGCGTGCGGGGCCTCGAGTTGACGGCCACCCTCTGACAGTGAGTGTGTCTACACGGAAAAAAAAAAGTTAGCTGCTCCAGCTTAACATTAGGTATGCGAGCCAAAAGTTAGCTGCCTGGAGGACAGACAAGAAAATTAGGAACAGTAGCTTATGAATTCGGTGCGTGAGCTAATCTGTGACTGTCGCAGATAAAGCGTTCCCTGTAGTAGCCTAACTACATTAGTTGTACGAACGAATG